ACTGAATCCTTTTTAAAGACGAACAACACATCAAAGTAAACACACTGAATCACAGACTTAGACCTTTTTTTAAAGACGAACACATCAAAGTAAACACACTGAATCACAGACTTAGACCTTTTTTAAAGACAAACACATCAAAGACGTAAACACACTGAATCACAGACTTAGACCTTTTTTAAAGACGAACACACATCAAAGTAAACACACTGAATCACAGACTTAGACTTTTAAAGAAGAACACATCAAAGTAAACACACTGAATCACAGAGACTAGACCCTTTTAAAGACGAACACATCAAAGTAAACACACTGAATCACAGACTTAGACCTTTTAAAGACGAACACATCAAAGTAAACACACTGAATCACAGACTTAGACCTTTTAAAGACGAACACATCAAAGTAAACACACTGAATCACAGACTTAGACCTTTTTAAAGACGAACACATCAAAGTAAACACACTGAATCACAGACTTGGACCTTTTTAAAGACGAACACATCAAAGGTTAAACACACCGAAGTCACAGACTTAGACCTTTTTAAAGACGAACACACATCAAATTAAAAACACGTTTTGAATCACAGACTTAGACTTTTTAAAGACGAACACATCAAAGTAAACACTTGGACCTTTTTTAAAGACGAACACACAAAGAAACACACAGACTTGGACCTTTTTAAAGACGAACAAAGGAAACATCAAATTAGACCTTTTTACAGACGTTGAAACACACCCGAATCACAGACTTGGACCTTTTAAAAATGAACACATCAAATTAAACACGTTTTATCACAGAATTAGACTTTTTAAAGATGAACACATCAAATTAAACACGTTGAATCACAGTCTTGATTTTACATAATGAACACTTAGACAATGTCAGGACCTTTAAAGACCGAACACATCAAATTTAAAACAGTTGAAGCACAGACTGGGAAGCCGAAGAACTACCGTGAAATCAGTCAGCAGTGACAGGTCTCTTTTGGAAAGATTTTCGACTCTGTCCAACGTAATGTGTATTGTGAACTGCCGATTAAGAAATTGGTGAGGAGCATATTGCCACTGAACTGGTTGTGCCCTATGCGATGTTGCGTGTACATCTACCGATTTGGTGTAACTGTTGCTTTCATCGAGGATTCCCTGCAAAATTAGTAAGATAGTGGTGGACTGTATGTATTGGCACTTCTAACGACTGCCTTGTGCATTTGATATGTGTATATACTATTGATTTGCCGAGACTGCATTCTGTTTATGTACAATGAACAGCGATGGGCATTTTTTGTGGTGGTCACTGCAACGGGCCTACTATATTGGCAGCTATGAGTTTACCCGTTTGCAGCGACGTTGGAACTACGGTTAACCGAATTAGCTAACTAAATTTGACAGAGTTTTTGTTTATTGTATTCTGTTCTTACAGAATGTTCGGAAGGATACTACGGTATAGACTGTGTAGAACCGTGTGCCCACTGTGCCGGTAACAGCACTTGTCACCACGTGACCGGAGTATGCGAAGAGGGATGCGCTCCAGGATGGACGGGACAACATTGTAACCTAAGTAATTAATTTTTTTAAATGAATAACCCCCCCCCCCCCCTTTTCCTATTTATTGATATCAATTTATTATGACGTTTTAACATCTTAATACCCCAGTATTGCTTATAATATGCACGAGATTAGCCCTTAACAATCACAATACGTGATTCCATGGAAATTAATCAAATGTTATTGAGAAATGGTATTAAAGAAATTATAGTTCTTTAGGGCTATAAAGCCACGTCCGTGGCTTAGGCTTTGCGAGTCCAACTCGTAATTCCAACGTACCGCGTTTGAAATCCACTGCTGGGTGCGTGGATTTTTAATAATGTACGAGGCGTCGCAGGTCGACCCAGCCTAAAATGGGTACCAGGGTGTGTGTCTTGGGAAAGTAAAGACGGCCGGCGTGAGGCTGACCACATTACCCACCTAGTGCCAATTCTTCTTCTTCAACATTCTGAGCCCCTTGAGGTTCATTGCTGCAGATATCACCCGCCTTCATTCATCGCTCTGGTTGGCCTTCTCTTTCCAGTTGGTGACACCAAGTGTTTGCAGGTCTGTCTGGACATTATCTCTCCATCGACTTCTTGGTCTGCGTCGTGGTCTACGACCATTCATCTCCCACGTGTATATAGTTTTTACTTCTCTGTCATCTGACATTCTTTCAATATGCCCTAACTATTTCAGTCTATAAGCTCTCATAATGCCAGTGATCAGTGGTGATTTCAACAGATAATGAATTTCGTTTTTGTTTCCATTGTTTATAGTGCCGATTGGTCTGTTAAAATACGAGTGCTCTTCTCCTATGCCCGATGCGCGTGAAAAGGGATCTTTACTTTACTTTTAGTGCTATATAGATTCAGTCCTGATATGTGGAAGTCAAGCATGGGCAGTGAGCTGAGTAGTAAAAACTTATGGATGCTGCAGAGGTTTTGCACAGATGAATGAGAAGAACACAGTGGACAGATAAACAAGAGAAATGAAGATACATGGAAAGACATTAACTTACGAAGAGAACTGATTACTTATACTGGAAAGACAGTATACTTTCTTCGTGTACGCAGCCTAGCCGTAGACCGCAAATTGTCGTGCAAACCACGTTCTTTTTAGGGAGAAAGGAAAAGAGGAAACAAGTCTGCAAATGGCTGAGCATGAGTTATAGGTGCTCTCTGCCACACCGGAAGCTTTAAGTCAGACAATGAGAGGATACAAAATGGAAACCTTAATCGTTCATGGAGTCTTCTTCTACTCAAGTTCACCGGAAATAGTTGTCTGTGTCAGCAATTTGGTCTCTTGTACGTGTATACATTTCACTATCGTGTTTTTTGTTGTTTTTTTTGATTCAGTGGTCTGTAGAGTTTACTTTCTACTTTTGTTCTTTCTGGCCAAAAAGTTTGCCTTAATGTATCAAATTTGGTGTAGCCCTTCAGTAAAAGTTCTGCTGTCCGGAGCACTTTTCCGCAGGTGTACATGGCCGATACGCCTATCTTGAATTCTGTGTAGATATGGTTAGCTAATTGGCTGTGCCCTGTTCTGTGGCGAAGGATAATGACTTGTTCTGATCTGTCCATAATAAAATAGTCGTCGTGTGCTGGGGCTGGTGGTTTCCTGATCGATTTAATTATCCTTTTCTTTAGATAGTATGTAACTAGTTCATCCGGCTGCTCTTTTGTTGCACCTTTATTTGCCAATTGATCAGCTTCCTAACTTCCGGGCTCCCTACAAAAGGACAGTATCCGCTACATTGAGACTCTTTCCTGACATTTGAGTTCTGCCAACAGTCTGCAGCTGCCAGGGAAATTTAGGAATATGTGCTAGCCATTGATCAGTTAATGTAGAGCTTTAAGAGAGAAGTAAGAAAGCTCCAGTGGACCATGAGGTGAAGAAAAGACGCTGGCGTTGGATAGGACACAAATTGAGAAAACCGTAGAAAAATATAACTAAAATGTCTTTGCATTGGAAACTACAGGGGCATTGGAATAAAGAAAGGCCAAAAAACACACAGAGAAGGGAGCTGGAGAATGAAGTTAGAAAGGTGGGGAGGACATGGGGGAGAGCTGCATGCGATAGCAAAAAATAGAACGAAATCGCGTGAGTTGGTTGAGGGCCTATAATCCATTAGGGGCTAGAAAGGCAGAAGAAGAAGAAAGAAGAAGAAGACTGACCAGTTAGCCATTGGCGGATGGTGTGGTCAGTTCGCTGCAGGCTCCAAATAGTCTGTAAGACATCTATCGGTACTCGTTCTGCACTGGGATGCAAAGGGGTTAAACTAGAACGGTTGTTGTACCATACTGGTTAAGAATGGGGCCGCGTTAGCGCAGTCGATAGGAGACTCGTTTTCAAATCCAGCTGCGACTAGCTGCAGCACACGGCCGGTGTTCGAAACCGGACGGTTCCAGAGGTTTACCTAGCCTCTAGGAAATGGGAACCAGAGTTAACACTCTGGGGTAAATGAAGGAACGTCGCTGTAGCAACACAGGCGGACAATTTCTTATCAGCTGTCCGTACTGGTGGCAGAGCACTTATGGTTTAAAACCGTGAGCAAGAAGCTGGTTCACATCTCTCGACTTTACATTTTTTTTTAAACTGGTTAAGAATCATTACGGTCTGAGGAGAATGGCACTACAAGGAGTTACAATGGGATCTGGTCGACGCTCGACACTCAGGGGAAAGGCGAAACGGATATACAATCAGACAGTTACTGGCACCATCAACATTTGAACTCTTCGCTTGCTGCTGAAGATAGGAATGGAGCACTTATGGGGGTGTCCCGAGTACTGTGATGTCGATTCTTAATTCAACATTCAGCCTTCATCTGGTTAAGACCTTTATATCTGCACCTCTTCGCGGTGATCGCAGGAACAAGTTCCCTACTAGGGAACGCCTGGCTAACGTATATATTATCAACATTTCCTTCAAAGTCGTAGTACGTCTGCCTGAAAGACAAAAATCAACAGTCTGCACACATACATAAGCCGGATTGTAAAAAGGATGTACACACATCACACAAGTCTTGGAACAAGGCCAGTGTCCAGAAATGGACGAAAAACCGGGGATATCCGCTGGAGTTTACCTATAGACCGGATTGACATAATGCCAATTAATATTATCTTTCTCTTCTTTGCGTACACCAGTTTTAAACTCTGGTGGAAAGTTCTGGTTGTTCGTCCACTTCTGGACTGCAGTCTTGTTCCAGAACCTGAGGTTTGCGTGTGCATCCGTTTGACACATCTGACACATTTGTGTGCAGACTGTTGGTTCCTTGCCGCTCCGGCAGAGGCACTCCGACTTCGAAGGAAGCTTCCAATTAGTCGACTCTTACGACACGCTTTTGGTTAGGCAGTAGGTCTATTCTTGTTTTCCCTATAATAGGGCCCAGGAACCCACACGGGAGATTAATATTATAAAAACATGTTTTATTTCAAGAACTGCTTCTTAACCCTGTTACTTATTCTGCTCAGTGTGTCACACTGGAAGATATGGCAGCGACTGTCGTGGAACGTGTGGCCGGTGTTTAAAGGGCGCCTGTGACCCCATCACCGGCGAGTGTGTTGGTGGGTGCTCCAGGGGCTACCGGGGACCTCAGTGTAAAGAAGGTGAGTATTTCCGTGTAAGCGTCAAAACATCTGGCAGGCAGGAGCACCGTAACCTGAGGGCTGCCACTCCAAATAATTTTTAACGTGGCCGAGCCCTCCCCTCCGGAAAATGTGCTAAGGGAATCTTAAGTGCTTTCCCTATCTATGTTTAGATATTACCCCCCCCCCCCCCAGATGCATTTCACATTGTCCACCCTTTCAGACGTTTTACGCGTAAAGTGCTTTACACCTATTTTATAGACCAATCTGCACTCGGTGGGGGATGTTTCAGCATCATGCCGGCCGCCTTTACTTCCCAGGACTTTACCTGGTACCCATTTAAGGCTGGGTCGATATGGATGCCACGGTCATTTTTGAAAGAAAAAAAAAAGGCTCGTGACTTTTCGGATTTCAACCCACAACACTTGAATCCGGGGACGAGCGTCTAACCGCTACAACACGGCGGCTCTTTTTGCCTAAAAGGGGTACTAGAAAATGTTATAAGTCGTAAGGGCGGCTGAGGTAATGATGACCACATTCACTCACCGAGTGCCGATTCCAGCATCAGAGGCCCAAACCCCGACAGGCGTGCCCAAACCACGACCGGCGTGCCCAAACCACGACCGGCGTGCCCAAACCACGACCGGCGTGCCCAAACCACGACCGGCGTGCCCAAACCACGACCGGCGTGCCCAAACCACGACCGGCGTGACCAAACCACGACCGGCGTGCCCAAACCACGACCGGCGTGCCCAAACCGACACTTGCGTGGAAAAAAACTCCGTCTGAGCCCCGAGGATGACGTCATAAGGCCCTTCGCACAAGGCAGTCATCCTCCGATCTTTCCGCATATTGGTTGGACAGTGATTTCGGGTCACCTTGCGTGGGTACAGGCACCCAATTTTGGGAGAAACGTAGGCTCGTTGTCTCTTGCCAAACATGACGTAAACACAGATTACTGAATGATGGATGTGCTGAAATAAAGCCTTGAAGGCCGAAAAACGAAGATATCGCATCTTAGCTGTAAAGTACAACATAATGTGACAACGATTCTTTTAAAGGACAAAAAACGAAGGAAAAGGAGGAGGAGAAGAAGAAAAGAAGAAGATGAAGAAGAAGAAGGAGAACAAGAATAAGAACAAGAAGATAAAGAAAAAGAAGAAAAAGAAGGAGGAGGAGAAGAAGAAGAAGAGAAGAAGAAGAAGAAGAAGAAGAAGAAGAAGAAGAAGAAGAAGAAAAAGAAGAAGAAGAAGAAGAAGAAGAAGAAGAAGAAGAAAAAGAAGAAAAGAAGATGAAAAAGAAGAAGACGAAGCAGAAGAGTAGGAGGAGAAAAAGAAGATGGTGATAATGATGATGATGATGATGGTGATGATGGAGATCAAGAAAGAAGAAGAAGAACAACAATAAGAACAAGAACAATAAGGACAGAAAAAGCAGAGGAAGAATAAGGAGAAGGAATCATGTTTTATATATTGTATTGCTAATAGAAAACAACATTTACTCATAAATGCATCTAGCATGCCTTTGATGTATGCTAAAACACGGGAATGTGTATATGAACATTGTAAGTCTGTCAGTGCACACATAACTGCAAACATTGTGTGGTTTTAATGAACTAAACTGACAGATTTACGTGGATTTTCTGTCAGCATATTGCTTGCTTGCGCAATAACGAGATGACACCTTCGTTATCATGTCTGTTTGGTCGCACGTCAAATTACGCTCGTTCCTTTGAGGATGCGCAGTTGTTATTTGTCGCTTCAGTATTGCAGCGTTTCTGCTGCCTAATGTGTCTTCTTGGGCAGCCGAAAAATGTGTAATCTAAATGCTTTGCTAAGATAAATTATCATAAATATCAGAAACAGGTAGTAATCTTTTATGGGCGACCACACATATTCGTCTTTTTTTGCATTCGCCATTAAAAGAGCGGTTGGCACATTTGCGTTGTAATTCATAACTTTACTGCGATATCGGCCTCTGTTGGCATAAGCAATTTTGGCAAACTCCAAATTAGTCACATGCTTATAAAGAAGCAGAGCGAGTGCCCCCCCCACCCCCGCAGGAGTGACTCCGAAAACCACACGGTGACTACACCACATAAGTAGAACAAATAAGATGGAGCATGTTCTAATAACTATTGTAATCTGGTAATCTGGTAATCCTAGTTTCAGCTTCATAGCAAACGGGTCACCCCACATATGCTCCGCTCCTGTGCCAACGAAAAACAAACGCAGCTCACAGTGTCACGCCATGCACTCAACTCAGAAGCTGGGCGACGAAACTACCTATTGTACAATAACTATTGTATTAAGACTGATAGAAACAGAGACAGAAAAAGAAAATTAACTCCCGTATGGGGTTCGGGGCTCTATTTTGGAGAACAAAGAATGGACCCACTGTTCTCTATACAAGCATGTCGTAGAAGGCGACAAAGGGTGGGGGGGGGGGAGGTTTCATTCACAGTCTGGTACATCTGCCCGAAAGGCAAGGAGCCAACAGTCTGCCTACAAATAAGTCAATCTGTAAAACGGAGTGCACGTAAAACTTAACTTCTGCATCAAGACCAGAGTCCTGGAGTGAAGAACAACCAGAAATTGTCACCGGAGTTTACAGCTAGTGAACGTTATGGAGGAGGAGGATGAGGAGGAGGAGAAGAAGAAGAAGAAGAAGAAGAAGAAGAAGAAGAAAAATAAGTAGGAGGAGGAGGAGGAGGAAGAGAACTAGAGAAAATTCGTGATGTCCTTTTGTCATCGCATGCTAAATTGGCAGCACACAAAACAATATATGCTGTTTTAAACTACAAGACATATCTCTGCACATTGCGGTTGACTGCCTATCGAAAACATAGCATACAGCATGATATCCTTAGTACCAGCGACGAACCCTTTATGTCTCCGAAAAAAAAAATTCAATTGATTGCAGAACCATTTTTATCCCAAATGAGACTACGACTTTCAGAGCCCAAAGCAAACTTCTCGAAACGTTGCCCACTAGATTCTCTCTCTCTCTCTCTCTCTCTCTCTCTCTCTCTCTCTCTCTCTCTCTCTCTCTCTCTCTCTCTCTCTATCTGTCTGTCTGTCTGTCTGTCTGTCTGTCTGTCTGTCTGTCTGTCTGTCTGTCTGTCTGTCTGTCTGTCTGTCTGTCTGTCTGTCTGTCTGTCTGTCTGTCTGTCTGTCTGTCTGTCTGTCTGTCTGTCTGTCTGTCTGTCTGTCTGTCTGTCTGTCTGTCTGTCTGTCTGTCTGTCTGTCTGTCTGTCTGTCTGTCTGTCTGTCTGTCTGTCTGTCTGTCTGTCTCCGCACACCTCCGAACCATATCCTCAATATATCATCATGGAATAGACATTCCCCATTTACCGTTTAACTTCCCAAGTCAGTCAACTGTACCAGACAAGTAAATACGTCTGCCTTTTCCAGAGTGTCCCAGGGGCTGGTACGGAGAGAACTGCTCCATCTCCTGTGGTCACTGCCACTCGCTGTCTGGCTGTGATCCCGTGACGGGCATCTGTTTGGATGGTTGTGCTCCGGGCTGGCACGGCGTCTTCTGCTTGCAGAGTGAGTAAAGCATTCATCATCATCATCATGATCGTCAATCATAATCATCATAATTATCCTCATCAGAGTCATCAATCATCATCATCCTCATTATCATCCTCATCATGGTCATCAATCATCATCATCATGGTCATCAATCATCCTCATCATCCTCGTAAAAGTAATCAATCATCATCATTTATCCTTTTCATCGTCGTAATCATGGTCATCAATCATCATCATGGTCATCAAATATCATCATGGTCATCAATCATCATCATGGTCATCAATCATCATCATGGTCATCAATCATCATCCATGGTCATCAATGATCATCATAGTCATCAATCATCATCATCATGGTAATCTATCATCATCATCTTTCTCATCATAGTCATCAATTAGAATCTTCTCATCAAAGTCATCAGTCATCATCATCCTCATCATAGTCAACAAACATCATTTCTTTATCATAGTCATCAATCATCATCATCCTCATCATAGTCACCAATCATCATCATCCTCATCATAGTTGTCATTCATCATTCATCATCCTCATCATAGTCATCAGTCATCGTCGCCACCCTTTGTCACTTTATTCATTATTATTTACTCGTAATCATAGTCATTATTCGTGCTAGGCTTCTCAAGGATTACCTTAGAGAGTCTGCAACACATCTTCCCAGATTTCAAGACATGGATTACACAATGTCACAAATAAAACGTGAGACCTGCTTCCCTGCTTTTACCTTACTATCTCTGTCACTACTATTACCAAAGGTGTCACTGCTACAACTATTGCCGATGTTGCGACTATACTACACAACACAAACACACACACACACACACACACACACACATACAGACACACACACACACCACTACTAATAAAGAATTAGTTAGTTAGTTAGTTAGTTAGTTAGTTAGTTGGGTTATCCTCATTGCACTCCGGACATGTCCATAGGTGCTCAGATCCTCCCCTCAGTATGAACCCCAACGTCCGATGGCTAATAAAATAATACTAATAAAGAAATTTGTTGCGTATCCTTTACAGGACGTTGCAGAAACAACTCGAGTATTTTTTTTTCTTTTTTGGCCAATGTGTTTTTTTTTAAGGCAAATTAAAAATGTTGAATGTTGGGTACTCCCATAAGCGCTCCGTTCCTATCTTCAGCAGCAAGCTAAGTGTTCCAGTTCCGATGGTACCATTACCTGTCTGATTGTAAATCCGTTTCCCCTTTCCCTGAGTGTGTGAGCGTCAGCCAGATCCCCTGGTAAATCCTCGCAGCGCCATTCTCCTCAGACCGTAATAATCTATTTATGCCTCCGCATTGTTCACTCTCTTCCAAATGGCTCTCAAAACATCTAGCTTGTCATACATCAAGTCACCACCAAGTGGTGCAAAACCGTTAGGAAAATTTTCATTTTCAATAGTTTGCCGTTGCCACTAAACGGCTGAATCTCGATCGATACCACTTTTAAAACCAACGCATGCCGGTCTCTGGCAAATGGACAGCAGCTGGGATCAAACCCGCTACTCCGGCATTACGAAGCGCCTTGGCAACGCCTAAGCCACAGACGCCGATAAAGTTACTTACGCTTTCCATTTACTACTATTTAGAATGTTAATGTTATCTGTTATATGGAGTGGACGCAGAAAAAATGGGAGTAGGGGAAGGAGAAGAAAGATGATGAAGACAATAATGATGATGGAAAGGAAACATAAAAGATAGACAGAAAAAAAAAAAGGAAAATACATAAGAAGAAGTTTTTGAAGTTTTGAAAAACGGATCAACATCATGGCACACGGATGTAACCCATAAGTGCTCCGTTCTTTTTCAAGTCAGAGTCTGAAGAAGCTCACTACAGTGCACAGGCTCTGTAGCACCTGCGAGGATCTTGAAATACTTTAGATATATCTTTTGTAAACTCCAAATTTTTCTCGGGCAACGCCGACAGGCTACTTTTTTAAAATTTTTATTTACAACTGCCAAGTAATGTTTTACGTGCGCAAAAATGCACACGGGCGTACTATCTCACGATATAGAGACCTAAATGAAAAGAAAAAAGATTGCAATCAATAATGGAGAGAGAGAGAGAGAGAGAGAGAGAGAGAGAGAGAGAGAGAGAGAGAGAGAGAGAGAGAGAATGAAACAAAAGAAAGAATAAACAGAAGCCAGTTAAACAATATATGATTCTCATCTTTATCTAATACCATTACTGTCACATTTATCATCCTAATCGACGACAGCGCCGTCAACCCAAATGCCTCATTACTCACACCTCAAGCCGCCTGTCTTCCACTACTCCTTCTCTACTTTCCACTCCTCAGATTGTTCGCAGAGTACATACGGCGACGACTGCAAATTCCTCTGTGGCCGCTGCAAGGGCGGGGCGCCTTGTGACGTCACTACCGGGGTTTGTCTCTCAGATTGCGAGGACGGATGGGAGGGTGATAAATGCGACACAAGTAAGTTGACTTTTTTTTAAGCAATAAAAAAAACCATGAGTTGTTAACTCTTTTGGCTCAGTACTATGGATATCGCAACCCTTTGGCCTTTATTCCACGATCATCATCATCATCAGGTGCCTTGCCGACTGGCGTAGGAGATCATGCCTCTCCATAATCCACGATCTTCTGCAGCATGTATCAGTTCGTGTGCTGACACACCTCCATTACGTGCATCTCCTTCCACAGATCTTCCCAATGGTCACAACATGTTATATTTTCTCTCTTCTCATAACATGGCCGAAAAATGATGACTGACTCCTTCTGATGTCTGTGATAAGTTGCCTCTTTCAAAACCTCTTGGTTGCTCTTTTTGGCTGTCCAAGGTATTGTAAGCAAGGTATTCCACGATAGATACCGTAAATCTAGGAGAAATGTGGCTTTTCCGCCTACCCCCCTGGCATCCCGAGGTCACCGCGAAGTCAGGTTTAACCAACTACGCTAGCAAGCCGGGCTAGTAAGTTGATTAAGGACATGTATCCTCACCCCCATAGGACCAGTGTCGCCTCAATGCATCAGTCCCTGGTGAGTAAAGGTAAAGGACCTTATACTCGCTTTTAGGCGTATTGGGAAAATAGGACGACCTATATTTTATAGACCAAACGGCATTTGTTGGGTGATGGGCTCAGCATCACGCCGGCTACCTTTACTTCCCAGGACTGCACTTAGTACCCATTCAAGACCCCTGGTAGGGCAACCGTAATATATATCTTGATCTGAAAACGGGATTGTTTATTTGTTTTAGTATCCAGAAGCCATGAGTTGTTAACCCTTAGGCTCGGTATTATGGATATCGCAACCTTTCGGCCTTGATTCTATTGTAAATACCGTAAATCTTGGAGAATTGTGGCTTTTCTGCCTACCCCCGGGAGTGAACCCGGACCACTAGGAGTTCGTCACCCGCTCACCGCGCAATCCAGTTTAACCAACTACGCTAGAGAGACGGGCGAAAACGGGATAATAAATCGCTTCAGTGAAAATTCCCATCAACCCAAATTAAACATGAAACTATCTACAGCTATGAAATCTAATACAGTCTACAGATGTAATGTTCTATTATTGAGATTATTTTTAGATTTTCAAAAACGGGAAAATCTGAGGTTGTTTTGGAGTATCGACGTTACTGCCGGGCCAGAAAACGACTATGTCCCCTGGTGAAAACGGGACTTGTGGCCACCCTACATTGTAAAAGGGCTTTTTGTCTGATATTACGCATTTAGGACATCCTTTTTTTTTTCTGCCCTTCTGTAATAGACACGTTAGGGTGAGTACGGGCACCAGTTTTCGATATATGTGGTGAAGACTGGTGTCCTTTTTATACCCTTTTGTGGTGAGTACCAGATCCGTTTTTTCTAGGGAAAACCGTCATTTATCCATGAAATCTAGAGTGGATTACATCCATGATGTCGAGACTAGATATCATCCATGATATGGTGACCATATTCCATCCATGATATCGAGACTTTATTCCAATCATGATATCGAGACAAGATTCCATCAGTGATATAGAGACTAGATTCCATTCATGATATCGAGACTGGATTCCATCCATGATTTAGAGACTAGATTCCATCAATAATATCCAGACGAGTGCACATTATAGAATGAAATGAAAGACTAGACTGCGAGCCTAAATGTGGCATGATGGACTCTACACAAGGATATTTCTGAAATATGTTTATCACGTTACACACTTACTGTTTCTCCAGATGTGTTCAAAACCAGCCAGAGTTTTCACTCGTCGCCGTCATTTCCGGTTCTCATCATCTCCTTAGTGGCTGCAGTCATCATTGTTTCTACGTTTTTCACCTACTGTGTGGTGGTTCGGCCTAGGAAAACTGCCCTCAGACGCCTTTATAACGCCTCGGTAAGTCTACTAGTTTTTTTATATTGCCTTGTATGAAAATGTTATATACATATATAATAATAAACAAACAGACACTCATAGAAGATAAAAGGACAGAGAAAAAAGACAAAGTATTGATTTGCACTCATAGAAAGAAGTAAAAAGATAGAAGAACAGGAAAAAAGACAATGTATTGATTGGCATTCAAAGTGTAGCACAGCTCTCTTCTTTGTGGCGTACGTTGATGTCACACCCAGGTTCGTCCTTAGGTTTGCTACAGGAGGAGTCGATTGGAAGATTATAGACGAGGAGAAAGATGCTCGTGTCGATAGTGGTTATGATGATGATGTCTTGCTAGCTGCATGCTTCTCACGTGACTCTGGTGCTTGTATAATAAAATGCCTGGAAACAACAGTTCTTGTCTATACTGTCTTTATTGTGATACTTTAACAATGTCACAAATACATCAAGGATATTCTGCACTGTGTTCTCTCTATGGTTACGTAATGTTAAGGTCGCGTTGTGTTCTTCATCTCTGGTTACTTAGGTTCTAGCGTCTCTAACTGCCACCTGGCTTCTAGTGCTGTTTGGTACTAGCGTCTTGAGCGTTGACCCTAACATCTCTATAGTTCCTACCTAATGTGTCTCTGTTAACCATGGATCCATGTATCTTGTGTGTCGACTCTGTAGCTCGATGTCTCGTTTCATGTCTGCTCTCCAGTGACTGTCTTCAAGGTTCCATATGAACGGCTGCTCTGCTTCCAGTGTTGAGCTGGTATCGCAGATCATTGAGACTAGTCGCTCGTTCTCTGAGTCTCAACGACTGAAGGCCTCTAGTGTTGGGCTTACATCTCTACCACTGAAGGCTGTCTTGGGAGCCCATGTGACTGGCCTCTCCTCTTTCTCGAGTCTTGTGGACTGAAGAATTTTTAAAGTGCTTTGTTGCTCGCTATTTATACTTGGATGCTGGAATGCTAGGTATTTGTTTTCTTCTCACTTTGTCCGCTTCTAGAATATTCTAGTACGTCTAAAACTATGTACGACATGGGATTTGCTAATTATACCTCGATTGCATCAGATTTCATCATCCTATTCTACGCAGATAAAGTAGTTAAACTGACAATTGAGGTCGTAGAAGCTTCTAGAAAAAAAGGACAATTGCGTTTGCTTTGATAGGGCACGTGGCAACAAGGTATTCATAGTACGACCAAGGTTGGGTCACACGATGAAAAGAATGCATTTCAAAAAGAAAGAAGGCCAAGGCCAGACAACATCAGTTTGATGTCAATAGTTGTTTTGGCGAGAAAAGAAGATTCTGGAAAAGGGAATGTCAAGGCTGCCAAAACTTGTTGATTTTCAGTACACCATAACTCTGCGTAATAACCCACTTCCTTCAAACAAGTAATGACTTAACTGTGTTACAAAAGAAAGAAGTGGGAGTCGCCCTGGCGGAGCGGTTAGGCGCACACCGCGGATCGGAAGGTCGTGGTTTCGCTCCATGGAGAATCCGGACTTTTATTTCAAAAATGACCTTGGGTCTCAGCTCGATCCAGCCTTGAGTGGGTACAGGGTGCAGTCTCGGGAAGTAAAGGCGGCCGGCGTGATGCTGACCACATCACACATCTTGTGCTGATTGGTCTATGCAAATATAGGTCTAGCCCTATATGCCCTATACGCCCAAAGGCGTGGAAAAGGGTCCTTTACTTTTTTTTTTCACATAGAAAGAACTAGAAAGATAGAAGGACAATGTTTATTTATGTGTGTATGAGAATGAGCGTGTATCTTCAAGTATGAGGGGAAAAAAGGTGACAATGTACTGGGTGGATCGCGAGAAGAAGCGGTCGGATCATCAAATCCCTGAACAGGTACTGAAATAGGAAAGAGGTAGACTGAAGAAACTAGGACGTTGAAGAGAAACCTTACAAAAAATATTGCTGAGAGAGGACAAAGCTTCTGGACTGGAATCCATCCATGATATCAAAAGAGTTGCACTAGATAGAACAAGGAACGAACGAACGAACTTTATTTTCAAAGGGTTAAGAATTGGGCACGCAGGCCCGTTTAACATTCAGCCCTTCCATTCCATTCCTTGCATACAATTATTCATTCGTACATCATTTCATAGGTAGTTTTCTTTAAGGTTCACAATATCTAAGTCTTCGAACTAAATGAACACATAACGGTACCACAGGGTGATAATGGTGTACCCTTAAGTCCTGTCCGTGTATCACCAGGGCCATTAGGGGAAGCAACAACAACAACAACAACAACAACAACAAATGACAACACGACGTCCTACCAAGCATGCCTGAAGAGGTGTTTAGGAATAGGTTTGGTTTGGCTTTCGATTGGTTACCCAATCTCGTGTAAAACTTGAGCTATACATGCCGTTCGACAATAAACTAATCTAGAAGAGGCTCAGTGACAGTTCCTTGAGAGAACGTGATTTACTGGGGGAATCATGGAAAGCAGCAGCTAAAGAGGAAGGCATAGAAGATGGAGACGGAAAAAAAGGGTTGAAAAAGGGCAGAAGGATGAGGGATAATAAAAATAATAATGATAATAATAATCAGAAGAAGAAAAGGAACAAGGAGAGAAAAAAGAAGAAGCAGCAGCAGCATCAAAAAAAAAAAAAAAAAAAAAAAAAAAAAAGAAAGAAGAAAGAAGAAAGAAGAAAGAAGAAGAAAGAAGAAAGAAGAAGAAAGAAGATAAAAAAAGAAAGAAGAAAGAAGAAAGAAGAAGAAAGAAGAAAGAAGAAAGAAGAAGAAAGAAGAAGAAGAAGAAGAAAGAAGAAAGAAAAAGAATTTGATCTCTAAAAAGAAATAGCATCAACAACTGCACACACATAAACTAATATGTTATATATTATATCTATATGTTTCACTGTCTGTCTGACTAGCTGTTATGTCTGACTGTGTTACTACACCCTAGACTATCTATTTATTCATCTGCCTGTTTGTCTTTATGTCTGTGTTCCCACAGAACAGTATGTTACATGATAACACTTACATAAAAGAATGTGTGATAATTTTGCATCCACATAGAGTACTGACCATTTGGCCAACACTTATGAACAAATTGTTGGAAGCCCCTGGGAACTTCAGCGAGGTCAACTGTCCATCAGTAATGAACTACTGGGAAATGGTCAGTTTGGTCAAGTTAAGAAAGGACATGTGAAGATCAATGGAAAGAAAATTCCAGTAGCTATAAAATCATTAAAAGGTAAGCCAAACTAGCAAACAGACGCCATTGTACCATACAACGTATACCAAATCTTGACAATGTGTTCTTTGTTTAAACGTCAATGCTTAAAAAAAGAGAAGGTTTTTTTTTAAATAGGAAATATAAGGGGTTTCCTAACATGCAAGAGCATTTCACTCTGCCTGCCTGTCTGTTTATTTATTTTTCCGTGTGTCTCTATCTACTTCCCCATCTGTCTGTGTATCCGTTTTCCCCTGCCTATCTATCTGCCTCAATATTTTCTGTCCATCTTTCGGTTCATCTATATATTTTCCCGTCTTTCTATTTGTCTGTCTCTTTGAGAGTGTCTGTCTCTCTATTCGTCTATCTTTATGTCTCTCTGTCCGTTCAGCCATCATTCTTCTGTTCTGTCTTTCAGCGTCATGTTTTGACAAGACACCCGGTGCGCGCCTTGCTATGTGCTACACAGATGCTCTTGTATGCGAAATTTACTCCAGTGTATATAGAGTTAATAGAGTCAGGGTTTTGTGACTGCCTGTGTGTACCCACGCTCCACAAAACTTTGGCTTCCTTAACTCTTTGTATACTATAATAAATCTGATGACGAACCGATGTGCGATAAACAATCTGTAAGCTTGTCACTTGGTCGTTAAGGTAGTCGGCTGGTCCGCAGCGACTAACATATATTTAACTTCGAAACTCACAGTACCCCTTGCAGTCATGACCCAGGTCGGCACACCCTCTGAAGTTATATAGGAGGTACTGGGCCGAAACAGTTGTTGATGAGGGATCTTCTACTGAATGATTGGTAGACTCCTACTGTACATGCTTCCCTGTGGAGTTCTTCTTATTATCATAAGAAAGCATCTAACAGATGCTGGCATACATAGCCTCGGATATTACATCTATTTATCTATCGCTTGTGTAGTAAACCTCTAGTTCTGCTTTCATTATGCCTAAGTGATAGGGCTCTCAAAAATCCCCTACCTACACCGCAAAAATGGTAAAACAGGCAGTAATGCAGATTTTGGCAGATAGGGCTGTCTGTGGTGTACTATCTGGTGGTACCCATCATTTTGTTTGTCTGTTTTCCTGTTTGTCTGCCTCTCTGTCTGTTTATAGGCTTACCTATCTATAGTTATAAGTACGTCAATTGATGTAAACGGCTGATCAGGGATCGAAAGAGAAACTGGTCCCTGAATTCCCTACAAACCTCAACCTAAATTATCCTAGCCTAGTATGTATAAAGGCATATCGTTTATCATTTCTAAAGCCGTAACTGTCATGGTGAACAGATTTGGTGAACAATTTACAATACATAATCTTTGTATACGGTGCATTATGAATACTTTCTAGACAGACAATACATCAGAGTGGATTAGACAGACTTATTCAACGAACTGTCTGTATTGAAAACGTGTTTTGGCCAACCAGAACAACTGTGAATTGTGAATCATGTCTTGCTTTCTCAGAGGGCAGTGCACCAGAGAAAGAGATGCTTTCTCAGAGGGCAGTGCACCAGAGAAAGAGATGCTTTCTCAGAGGGCAGTGCACCAGAGGAAGAGATGCTTTCTCAGAGGGCAGTGCACCAGAGAAAGAGATGCTTTCTCAGAGGGCAGTGCACCAGAGAAAGAGATGCTTTCTCAGAGGGCAGTGCACCAGAGAAAGAGATGCTTTCTCAGAGGGCAGTGCACCAGAGAAAGAGATGCTTTCTCAGAGGGCAGTGCACCAGAGAAAGAGATGCTTTCTCAGAGGGCAGTGCACCAGAGAAAGAGATGCTTTCTCGGTGAACTATTTCAAAACGAGGAGGGGAAAACGAGAGCGTTGTGTGTATATTGATCATGCCACAGTGTATCAGGGAAGGACAAGACAGATTGTCCCATCGAACTGTCTAATTTAAAATGAGGAAGGAAAAAACAAGAGCGTTGTCTGTATATTGATCATGCCACAGTGATTAGGAAAATACATAACAGACTCTCTCTCTCTCTCTCTCTCTCTCTCTCTCTCTCTCTCTCTCTCTCTCACACACACACACAACACACAAGTTTGTAAATTTTGGAGAGAATAGGAGAGTTGTCTGTTTGACATGAATCTGGTCTTACTTAATGATATGCTTCAGCGAAAGAAGAGACTACTCTCTCAGCACAGCTGCCCTTGATCGGATATACTTGATTACAACTGTATTTTTGTAAAATCCCAGTTGGCTAGGTCTCTCTATGCAGAACGACTAGCTCCTCGACCAGAGCGTGACACAAAGCATGCGCTCTATATCCCCGTGGACAGTCCACAAGGACCGTAAACACAGCACTTGTTAACCGAACCACGCAGTCCGAGTAGTAAACCTACGATTTTCAGGCACAAGGCAGAACGGCTTAAACACTCAGCCACAAGGATCAGCGATGAACGTGTCTGTATATTTAAACATGTGGAGAAGAACGAGAACTTTGTACATTTTGAATCTGTTTTAATTTTGTTTCTCACTTTCTCAGCAGACAATGCATCAGAAAAGGACAAAACAGACTTTCTCAACGAACTATCTATATTAAAACAAGTTGGGAAAAACGAGAACGTTGTCTGCCTTGTCGGAGCTTGTCATATTCGAGGTAGGTCATACACAACAGTGTCAAAATATATATATATATTTTTTTCAATTCCAACTCAAATAAGTATGTTTTATGTGTTAAAAAAAACTCCATTCAACGAATCAGCATCATGGCACACGGGTGTAACCAATAAGTGCTTCTTTCTACTTCTAACTGAAGCCTGGATCTGAAGCACTCAGTGCAGTGCACGAACTCCGTTGCACAGGCGAGGATCCTGAAATACTTTAGTTAGACTTTTAACTTAAAACTGTTATGTCGTAGGCGCAAAGGACATATGGTAAAGGACCTTTTCCCACGTCTTCAGGTATTTTGGGCACATAGGGTTATACCTATATTTTATAATTAAAAAACAAAGAAGACACGAACAATAAATTTCACAATTTACTGCCTGTCATATTTCTCTGTATCTCGTCAGATGCATACTACAGTAACAATTACATTCAGTCAGTCATTTGCAGAACCTTGGAGATCCATTTGGAGATCATCCGCCATTACCTGCACCCATCTTTTATGTGGCTTCCCTCTTCCTCTCTTCCCTGGTACATACCCCTCTATTACTGTTCTTTCTGTACTTTCGTGACGTTTCAAGTGAACAAAATATTTCAGTTTTTTTATCGTCTTTAATAGCCAGCCTTTTTTAATATTCAGTTCTTCAAACAATTACATAAATAAAGCAAATAAGTAAATCCTTTATAACTGAAGTACAATTTCAACAACAGTCAAACGCAACTACCTGTTTACCAGGGCGACCGCAGTGCCAGAATCATGTATCTATTGTTTTTGTCTTCTTTGTTGGAATTTACAAGGGGAAACATTGCGATATTGTATAGACCAATCGGACTTGGTAAGTTAATGGGGTCATCATCACGATGGCCCAGGACATATATCTGGTACCCATTTCTTCTTCTTCTTCGTGTTCATCGGTTGTAGAATCCAGAAGGCTGGGTCTTAGGATCCGCAAGCGAGGTGTCTAGCCATTACCCAAAGGCGGCTGCTAAACAGCGTATGGTACCAAATCCATATTTGTAAAGACCAGTCGACACTCCAGGGATGATGTGGTCAACATCAGACCGGACGCCTTTACTCCCCGAGACATTTTCTCCTGCACAATTTAGGCCGAGTCGATCTAGGAGCTAGGGTCAATTATTAACCGTATCAACACGGATTCGAACACAAGACCATTGGTTCAACAGGCTAGCATTCAGAAGCTATGCTGTTATTTCAGTATAGAAGTTCCCCTGTGTGGGTTCCGGGGCCCTATTGTGGGGGAAAACAAGAATAGACCCTCTGCCTCCCCAAAAGCATGTCGTAGGAGTCGACTAATTGGGGAGCTTCCTTTGAAGTCGGAGTGCATCTGCCGGAGAGGCAAGGTAACAACAGTCTGTATTCAAAAGAATAAGATCTATACAACTGATGCACACGCAACACTCAGGTTCTGGAGCAGGACTGCAGTTCAGTAGTGGACGAGCATCCAGAACTTTCCGCCAGAGTGTACAACTGGTGAACGCGAAGAAGAAGAAGAGTATAGAAGTAAACTATATCATTCGTGCACGTTGGATATATAGTGCTAAACCTATATTTTTTAAACCAATTGGCAGTCGGTAGGTGATTTGGTCAACATTCCATCGGCCGCCTTTACTTCCCACGGCTTTGCCTGGTATCTATTTAATACTGGGTCAACCTGGGAGCCTTAAAAAAATACTTGGCAGTTATTTGGTATAGAATTCCTCGGCAGTTATTCGGTATAGAATTCCTCGGCAGTTATTCGGTATAGAATTCCTCGGCAGTTATTAAGTATAGAATTCATTAATTAAGTTTCGCATGAGTACGTTTGGCATCTACCGGAAACATTTGTTAACACAGCTGAGTGCCCGCCACAAACACCATTTCCCGCCATTCACAGAAAGCTGGCGAAATAATGACACTTACTCTCTTGTAGAACTGTTGAACTCTCTATGTGTAGTAGGGCAGACTATAGAAAATAACAAATATAGCTCTCCTTACTTAAAAAAGCAAAATCGTACAATACCAGGGCTGCCGAAGTTGGTAGTTTCGTACAAATTTGGTACTGTTATATCCTTACCAAGCAAAACTATACTTTTAGTATCATGCCTGATGCTTTTGGTAGTTTTTTAGTTTTCTCTCTGCTTGACAAAATTAAGCTTTAAAAAGCTCTCTTTTTTGAAGACCTTAACAATAAATGCATTGAGGAGGTCAACGGTGTTGCTCCAGAATATTAACTGTACTTACACAGCAACTGTGTAACAAACTGATAGAAGAGAAATGCTAAAATAATGTAGTGGACAATGAATTTAAATTTTGATACCAATTATATACATTTATATACACACGTCTCTCTCTCTCTCTCTCTCTCTCTCTCTCTCTCTCTCTCTCTCTCTCTCTGTCTGTCTGCGTGTGTGTGTATGTGTGTGCGTGTGCATGTGTGTGAGAGTGAGTGGGTTTGGTGTTTTTACAGATATTTTAACGGTTTGTATACTTTAAATTTGTGTACCTTTTGGTGTGTTTTGGAAACAATGAACAAAACAAAGGGTACTATTTACAAAAATATTTCGGCAGCCCTGTACACAACCTGTCTGAAACCGCTCAGTAAGTGGTAAGTGGAACAGGATGAGAAGTCCAGTCTTTGTTTGCAGTGTTCCAGTGACACAGATGAGGGCCATACGAGTGCATTATGGTGTAATATTACCAGAAGCCCATTCATTATCGCCAGGACGAGGTGAAGAAGCGAATAAATATTCCTTTGAAGGTTTCGGGTTTTCACAAGGTCTCTTGAAAATGTACTGAAAGTGCAGCGGTGAGACTGAGGACACGAGGACTAAGGTATTTCTAGCTCGTAATTACGCAGGCCACACTGCTGTTGAATGGAAGGATCTTAACCCAAAGTCTGCTGATAGGCGTTCGTTAGGTCCATGAACTTTAGCATGACAGAAACATACCACCCCCCCCCCCCCACCAGTAATAAAACAAAATTTAGCAACATCAGAATGAATGAGCATAAAGGGGGAAAAAAAAACATTTGTAAAATATTTATGAGCACATAATTGCCACCTTAACTACATCATAGCGACTAGTCAAAGCAGTGCTCTGGGCTCTGTCTATGTAATCACTCATCCTCACCACCATCGTTCTCATCCCTATCATATTCACCACCATCATTCTCACCAAAATCATCCTCATTCGCCAACATTCTTAACACCATCATCCTCGCCATCATCATCCTCACCAAAATCATCCTCATTCGCCACCATTCTTAACACCATCATCCTCACCACCATCATCCTTACCATCATTCTCACCACCATCATCCTCATCCCCATCATCCACACCAACATCATCCACATCACCATCATCCTCACCACCATCATCCTTATCACTATCATCTTCATCACTATCATCCTCACCATCATCATCCTCACGAAAATCATCCTCATTCGCCACCATTCCATACACCATCCTCAGGAATTACAAAACGAAATATGTAAATTCGTGTGCTGATATATTTCCGTCACCGGGCTATTAAAAAGTGTATCCTCTTAGATTAAAAAAAAAAAAATTCTTTTTATAAGTATTCGGCACCTCTAGAATCCACTGCATAACATGTTCTAGCTAGAAGTTTGAAGTTTGAGGTTTGAACAACGGATCAACATCATGGCTCACGGGTAGGAACCCAGAAGTGCTCCGTTCTTCTTCTCACTCAAGTCTGAGACCGAAGAAGCTCAGCACAGTGCACAGGCTCTGTAGCACCGGCGGGGAATTACTAGAAGTCCAAGTCCACGGGCAAAAAATCGTAGCTTTTACAGGGGATTGAACCCGGAACCTCCAGCCCCCGAGACGGATACCATGCACCGAGACCACTAGAGAAACTACAAACAACAGAAAATGTTCATAATTGTGCCTCTCCCTGCAGGTGTGATGTATGTTGCCATGGAATACGCCAAGCACGGAGATCTACGCACGTTCTTACGCCAGAGCCGTCGACTAACGGCTCTGCACGAGTACGACAACACGTCGACACCATCTTTACATACAGCCCTCCGACCTCAGGCCCTCATTAAGCTGTCTCTGGATACAGCGAAAGGCTTAAAACATCTAGCAGACAAGCAGGTTAGTGAGCATTGCTGTTTTTTTTTGCTCTGTTTTGTCTTTCATAATTCTTTCTCCACCTGTGAGTTCCGGGGCTCTTTCCTTGGAAAAACAAGAACACACCCACGGCTTCCCCAACAAGCATGTCGTAGGAGTCGACTGCTAGGCGCTTTCTTGGAAGTCGAAGTGCATCTGCCTGAGCGGCAAGGAACAAGTAACTGCAAATAAAAGTAAGTTAGTAAAACGGATGTACACGCACAACTCAAGCCCTGGCACAAAGTTAAAGTTCAAATGAACGGACAGTCAAAACCTTCAGCCGGAGCTTACAACCGGTGAACAAAAAAGAAGAGGAAGTCAATACAGGCAACTCACTGTATATTTATGTAGTACTTGATTTTCCTCTATACGTGTTCCGGAGCCCAAGTTTAGGCGAACAACGAATATACTGAGTGACTTTAACTAGCAAGTAGTTAATGTCGACAACTTAGGAGTGTTTGCTATAAAGTCAGAGTGCATCCACTCGAGAGGCGAAAAACAAAACTGTCTGCATAGAAACAAACCAGTTAAGTAAAAGCAAAACTCAAGTTCTGGAGCGAGTCTAAAGTCCAGAAGTGGACGAACAACCAGAACTTTCCACCCAAAAAAAAAGAAGTAGAAGAAGAAGACGATGGTGATGAAGAAGAAGAAGAAGAAGAAGAAGAAGAAGAAGAAGAAGAAGAAGAAGAAGAAGAAAAAAAGAAGAAGAAGCAGAAGTTAAAAAAAAAAAGAGGAGCAGGATTTTTTTTTTGTCATATGTTTCTTCATAATTTCTTCTCGTCGTATTGTTAACAGCTTCATCATTATTATCGTCATCATCGTCATCTTTTTTCTTCTTCCTCCTCCTCCTCCCTTCGTCTTGGTCGTCTTCATCTTTTTCTTCTTCCTCTTCTTCTCCTCCTCCTTCTTTTATTCATCTTTTCCCCGTATCATGCTTTACTTGGTCGCACCTAAGAAGTCTACAGAATCTACAGTTGCACAAAACGCAACTCCTGTTCCTCCTCCCTCCCCCCCCCCCCCCCTTTCCTCAAAAAGATTGACTTTCCCTCCCTCTGACAAAAATCTTATTGAGACAAATGAGTGTTTAACTAATATTCTGTAAAAAATCTGGCCTGCGGTGTTATCTTGAAGTGTGAAAGAAATGATCCAAGACAGGCGCAGTGGTGCACATACGTGCAGATACAGCGCTAATCTCTGGAGTCTAGATATGCCCCGTAAAGTGAAGTTACTCCCTAAGCAAAGTTGCTGAAAATGAAATAACTTCATTGTATGAACCAGGACTGCCTGGCGCCATCGACTCGACAAACCTGCCGCTGTCTGCAGAATCCAGATCTAGACGTCTTGGCGTCCGTACTCTTCATCGTTCCCAGAAGTTTTCAGTTTGCCCGTTTGTTTTGTACTGAAAAGTAAATCTTACATTTTATCTTATGTTCTGTCCTTCTCTTAAATGAAAGTTTGGCATTCATTGCCAAACATTATCATTGTGTATTTCTTGTGTTTGTAATTTTGTAAAGCAAAATGTACTTTATTTTCCTATTTGTTAAATTTCACAGCTTCGCATTATTCAATTTTAATTAACGAAGTCATCTCATTGTGAGATGCAATTTTTAGTTATTTTGAAGCCCCACCCTGGCTCTTGCCGAGGGTCACAATATAGCCCGACCATACAATATGGTGTAACTTATGAACGCGGTTTCCGGGACTTCTCCACGGGTGATCCTTATTCGCATTGTGGCACCTTGTGTCATCGGGTGTTTATCGCTCTGTGTGATGTCCTAGTGGGATAAAACGTACTACTACTACTACTACTACTACTACTACTACTACTACTACTACTACTACTACTACTACTACTACTACTACTACCACTACTACTACTACTACTACTACTACTACTACTACTACTACTACTACTACTACTACTACTACTACTACTACTACTACTACTACTACTACTACTACTACTACTACTACTACTACTACTACTACTACTACTATTCCATTTTATTTATTCATATATTGATTGGTTAATATCCATTGTTTGTAATATGGTTTCTTCCTCTGAATCTCTGTGTCTGTCAAAGTTTATTTTTTATCTCCTGGCTGATTGGCTTTTCTAATATTGTAACGTTTTAAGGTAGTTACTTTAGTGTAATTTCCTAATTCAGATTGTGTTTAATTTCCTTTTATGGTTTGTCAATGAACGCATATCTCCGCCCCCTTCGTCCTTTGTTAATTTATTTACTCGTATTTATTTATCGATTTATTCGTTTATCTATTTGTGCTTATTTTTCAAACAAACAAACGAACATAATTTATTGTTTAAAGGATAAAGAATTTGGCACAACATTTTATCATTTTGCTTTTCTAACCTCACTCCTTTCATACATCATTTCATTCATAAACTTGTTATTTGTTGCTAGCTGTTTGTCTGGTTTCACTAACAGAAGGTTGGTAACTAATTTATTGAAAGAATACAGTTCCAAGGTCGTGAAGATGCAGGGCACAACCACATAGACAAACCAGAGTTCCTACCCCGCTGATGCATTCATCATCATCATCGTCATCATCATCGTCGTCATCATCATCATCATCATAATCATCATCATCATCATCGCCATCATCATATTCATCATCATCATCATCGCCATCATCATCATCACCACCAGCATCACCATCATCATCATCGTCATCATAATAATTATTATCATTATCATCATCATCACCGTCACCATCATCGTTGTCGTCATAATCAACATCATCATTATCATCAAAATATTCATGATCATCATCATCGTGATCGTCATCATCATCATCATCATCATCATCATCATCAGTTTCCACTATTGACGTTAAGATCCGTAGGGAGAAATAGTTTTGAGTCCATTGCTTGATGAATAGCAATGACTATTGTCATTCAGTGTCGACGTAGAACGTCTTTCAGTGTCATCAAATCCATCCTTTCCAAGGTTGGCCTCTCGCTTTCGCATCAGATCGTTTCGTATGCAGCGCATGTGTTGGTAGCTGTGGCTGCATTCTGACTAGAGAGCCAAACTACCTGACCGGTTACTTCTCAATGGATTCGGTGCATTGTGTTGTTCCCATAGTCTGTCTGGCAGTGTCATCTATCCCGTTGCCTCGGTTGGTTAAGCTGGAGACTTTCCTTGGGCATTTCATTTCACAGGTGTTAATTTTACGTTTTAAAAAAAAGGTAAAGTAAAGGACCCTTTTCCGCGCCTTCAGGCGTATAGGGCACATTGGGCTAGACCTATATTTTTATAGACCAATCGGCACAAGATGGGTGATGTGGTCAGCATCACGCCGGCTGCCTTTACTTCCCGGGACTGCACTTAAGGCTGGGTCGACCTGGAAAATTTTACGTAAAATAATAATTTTCATAATGTCCAATAGGTGAAAAAGGTAGGGCAAAGGTAAGATGATTGACTTCATTGCACTACGTTTTATCCCATATGGCTCAGTTTCTCTCTGCAGAACAGCTAGCTTCTTGCCTAAAGCGTCGCACAGAGTACGACCTCCGTAGCTCCGACGACAATCCCAAGGGATCTCCGTAAAAAAACAACATTTACATAATTTGCAGTGTTGATAGATCATATTTATATCGTCAACACGTTTTTCATGCTTAACACGAGACCACAAAGATCAATTTGTAAACTTTCCCGTTGGGTTTTCAGATCATACATCGCGATGTAGCAGCTAGGAACGTGCTACTGGCAGACAAGTTGGTGGCGAAAATCGCCGACTTTGGACTGTCCAAGAATGACCAAACCTACGTAAAGACATCCAGTGTAAGTGTCCTTTTTCTTCGTATATTTCTTGCTATGTTAGTGCTGGTCATCTGATGTATCCACAGCCTCCTACGCCGTGAACTGTCCTTCCTTCTTGTGTCTTTTGTAAATCTTGTGTAGATCTTGTGTAGATCTTGTGTAGATCTTGTGTAAATCTTGTGTAGATCTTGTGTAGATCTTGTGTAGATCTTGTGTAGATCTTATGTAGATCTTGTGTAGATCTTGTGTAGATCTTGTGTAGATCTTGTGTAGATCTTGTGTAAATCTTGTGTAGATCTTGTGTAGATCTTGTGTAGATCTTATGTAGATCTTGTGTAGATCTTGTGTAGATCTTGTAGAGATCTTGTGTAGATCTTGTATAGATCTTGTGTAGATCTTGTGTAAATATTGCGTAGATCTTGTGTATATCTTATGTAGATCTTGTGTAGATCTTGTGGAGATCTTGTGTAGATCTTGTGCAAATATTGCGTAGATCTTGTGTATATCTTATGTAGATCTTGTGTAAATCTTGTGGAGATCTTGTGTAGATCTTGTGTAGATTCTGAGGGCAATGACAGCTATAATTATACGAAGACATATTAGCCTATCAGGAAATAAAGGATGCAATGAGAATCAAGGGCATAATTTATGCATCTTTCTTGTGATTCTCTCCTACGTGAAATTACAAAAGGACTAAACTGCCAACACAGCTTCATCTAAAATCGTAGGGGCTTGAACTCACACTGTTTTATCTAAAAATCCTCCAGTTATGGTCACTGTCATTCCCCGGGCGTATTTATTCTCCAGTCCCACGGTCTCGTCAGTCTACTGGCAAGACATCGGCCTGGCTGCTTCGAGATCCTAAGCTAAGCGATTTTGTGTATTTTTGTAGAATTGTTTAATTTATATATATGTGCTGATGAAGGCTCCGTAGTCGCAACGTTCACGCTTTGTTTTTGTTTGTTATATTGTGAAGCTTGCTGATATACTTTTTGTTCCGTTTTATATCTTTGTGTGTGTGTGTGTGTGTGTGTGTACTGTCCAGCTTTGTTATACAGATCTTCTGCCATAAGTTGGCGTGTGTGGCTTAAACGCTGCAAACGCGTTTAGGAGTATACATATGTATATGTAATTTCATTTATTTCTTTTCCACTACGGCTGAGATATAATTATTTGAACGTCGGTACCGATTTGTAAACGCACTAAAGACCTATATTTTATAGACCAATCATACTAAGAATCTGTTTAAATCACCACTGATCACTGGCATTATGAGAGCAAATAGATTGAAATGGTTAGGGCATTTGGAAAGAATGTCAGATGACAGAGAAGTAAAAACTATTTATATATACAAGGTAGATGAATGGTTGTAGATCACGAGGCAGACCAAGAAGAATATGGAGAGATCAGGTCCAGACAGACCTGCAAACACTTGATGTCACCAACTGGAAAGAGAAGTCCAACAGGAGAGATGAGTGAAGGCGGGTGAAATCTGCTCGCAATGCTGAAGAAGAAGAAGAAGAATCATACTTAGTGGGTGATGCCCGGCTCTCTAGCGTAGCTGGTTAAACCTGACTTAGTGGTGACCGGGTGACGAACTGTCTTCGGATTTAAAACAACGACCTTAAGACCCACATGTGAGCGTCAACGTATTTGTAGTGTCCCAAATATACCTGTGCCTTATGGCTATAATTTTGATCGGGGTTTGTAGAATATATACCTGTTTGATTCGGGGTTTGTAGAATATATACCTGTTTGATTCGGGGTTTGTAGAATATATACCTGTTTGATTCGGGGTTTGTAGAATATATACCTGTTTGATTCTCACACTTGAGATGTTGTTAATCCTACAGACTGTAAATCTTGACGTGATAAACTCTAGAGGGGGAGGGGAGAGAGAGAGAGAGAGAGAGAGAGAGAGAGAGAGAGAGAGAGAGAGAGAGAGAGAGAGAGAGAGAGAGAGAGAGAGAGAGAGAGAGAGAGAGAGAGAGAGAGAGAGAGAGAGAGAGAGAGAGAGAGAGAGAGAGAGATTCTGCTTTTAGCAATATTTTAATGTTAGAATGACAGTGTTAGAATTGTGCGGCTCCCTGGCTTTGGGGCCAGCAAATGCGGCTCACAACTCCATGATCCTCGTTCCTGGCGGTGACAAAGGTCGCACCGTTTAAGAGATTTGAACCTCACCACGTAATGATCAAAGACAGCAGTGGTTGACTGTAGCCAAACTTCTTTGTGGAGATGGCACATAACTTTTTATGCTGGAATACCTGGAAGACCAGGCCCCGGACAATAAATGCCTGAAGAAGTTGGATGTGTCGGCTAAAAGGCGCAACGATCGCAACCATGCTGTAAACGGACACAACACATTTAAGTTTTTGAATGAGCACAAAAGAAGAAGAAGAAGAAGAAGAAGAAGAAGAAGAAGAAGTAGTAGTAGTAGTAGTAGTAGTAGTAGTAGTAGTAGTAGTAGTAGTAGTAGTAGTAGTAGTAGTAGTGGTGGTGGTGGTGGTGGTGGTGGTGGTGGTGGTGGTGGTGGTGGTGGTGGTAGTGGTAGAAGTAGTAAAAAAAAGAAGGAGAAAGAGAAGGAAAAGAAGAAGACAAAAAAGAAAAAAAAAGAAGAAGAGGATGATGATGATGAAGGTGGTGGAGGAGGGAGAGGAGAAGGAAAATAAGAAAGAGGAGAAGGAGGATAATAATAATAATAATAATAATAATAATAATATAATAATAATAATAATAATAATAATAATAATAATAATAAGAAGAAGAAGAAGAAGAAGAAGAAGAAGAAGAAGAAGAAGAAGAAGAAGAAGAAGAAGAAGAAGGAGGGGTAAAAGAAGAAGGCAAAGGAGAAGATAAAGAAGAAGGAGGTGGAGGAGGGAGAGGAGAAGAAAAAGAAGAAGAAGGAGGAGGAGAAGAAGAAGAAGAAAAAGAAGAAGAAGAAGAAGAAGAAGAAGAAGAAGAAGAAGAAGAAGAAGAAGAAGAAGAAGAAGAAGAAGAAGAAGAAGAAGAAGAAGAAGAAGAAGACGAAGAAGAAGAAGAAGTGCTGTGCTACAATAAACGAGAAGCCAAATCAACAATAGATGTAATTATTCCGTTGTGTTATTTTATTTCAGACACGAGTGCCAATACGATGGATGGCAATCGAGTCTCTCTTTAACAACACCTATACTCTACAAAGTGATGTGTAAGTTGCTGTATCTGTTGTCTAAGTAGTAATTATATATCCTTTTTCTTCTTCTAATATTTCATGCAGTGTGGTGTTGTTAATGATTTTAATTACATCCTTCTATCTCTTGCACTTTCAAACAGTTCTGACAAAGATGGTCTTGCATTGTCATGATTTCAATCCGTTCAGCATCTTCTATCTTTTGACCTCCTTCTGCCATTTTACCCCTTTAACTTTCCTACCCTTACGATGTACTCCAGTTTTCTCTTTCTCATGAATGAAAAATAAAAATGGTCTCCTTTGCACACGATGACAACTAATGCCGATTTTCTCCTCCCCGTGCCATGACCAAAGAATTCAAATTTTCTCCTTGTCATAACATGACAAAGAATACAGAAAGTCTCCCTCTCATGCCATGATCAAAGAATGTAGAACGTCTCCTTCTGACCAGGAAGTAGCCAAAGACGAGGTTTTGCGATGTCCAGTAAATGTTAACAGTCAGAGGAAAGGCAAAATGAACCTATAATCAGAATGCTACTGGCACCATTGGTATTGTAACTCTGCATTGGCCGAAGATGGGGACGGAGCGCTTATTGGAGAGCTCCGAGTGCTGTGATGTCAGTTCTTGAATCAGCTCAACTCAGCTCTAGATATTTAAATAAAAAAATTTTAGGCATTGTTTTCCAATATTATATTCACTGTTTTTAAGTGTTTTCTGTGTTTTCCAGTTGGTCTTTCGGCGTGTTGCTATGGGAGATCTTCACCCTTGGAGGCACTCCTTACTCCAGTATTGATAGCCAGCAGCTGTTTAAGTATCTCAAGGATGGCCATCGGTTGAGGAAACCTAGGCTCTGTGATCAGGATATGTGAGTACATCATACGTTTTGTTAACTTTAAACTCCTTCTGCCCCAAACAACGCACCAGTTATGACTGGGTATTATTTATTTGTACCTTACAGTTGTCATTCTTGCTTCTCTCAGATATTGACTAGGACAACCTGGGACTATAAGAACGTAGTATACTCATATGTACTGTATTTTTTAAATTTCGTATATAAATGTTTGAAGTGGTGAATGAGCAATGCCACAATTCAGTTTTCAAACTCTACTTAGGTGAAACATATGCATATGGTAATTTTTTGTTTTTAAAAAGGAAAAACATTAAAAAATAAAAATAAAAACCACACGAGTGGGTATGATATCTGGGTTCCACTCCTCATTTTTCTAATGTTATCCTCCCACCTATTACCATGTCTATCTCTTGCTCATATATCTTCGTCTTTTCTCTCCAGTGTGTCTTCTTTAATTGTATGTATTTCATGGTTCTTGTGTGTGTATGTGTGTGTAGATGAAATGACCTATATATATATATATCAATATTTCCTGGCATCATTTCTTAAATTGATTGTTGAAGATGTATGAGCCACATAGTAGAACTGGGTATATATACCATTTGCTACTCCTAAATTGTAATAGCTTGAATTTGCATCTGATGAATCTGAAAGCAGCATACAGTAGAACCTCAACACAGGCTTTCAATCCATTCCACAAGTGAGCTCGTTCAGGAAATAACTCACATGCTAAAAGTGTACCTTCTTTTAAAATTAATGTAAATAATTTTAATCCATTCCATAATTTTTTTTTTTACATATTTTTTTTTTAAATTTTATTAACGGGGACAATGCATGCCACTGCTTTTTTGTTGTTGTCGGCAGCGGAATACATGGTTACTTCTGACCTTGATGCTATAGCTCATCATCATCATCATCGTCATCGTAATCATCATCATCATCATCAAGTGCCTTGTCGACTGGCTTTAATCCTCCTTCGGCAGTATTAACCTGACCTAATCTATTCAAACGTTTTCAAGATGCTATAAGGCAACGACCAGAGTTCTTGTCCCACCTATCCTGGATTTAGCCTTGTATTCTGGATAAAAAATTGGGCAAATCTGAATTCTTATCCTGAAAAGCTCGTATCTAGGTACACTCGTATCCTTATGTTCCACTGTGTACATTGTCACATAATATTAAACCTAAGCGCTGTCAATACATTGTCACATAATGCTAGACCAAAGTGCTGTCAATACATTGTCACATAATGATAGACTTAAGTGATGTCAATACATTGTCACATAATGCTAGACCAAAGCGCTGTCAATACATTGTCACATAATGCTAGACCTAAGTGATGTCAATACATTGTCACATAATGCTAGACCTAAGTGATGTCAATACATTGTCACATAATGATAGACCTAAGTGATGTCAATACATTGTCACATAAAGATAGACCTAAGCGCTGTCAATACATTGTCACATAATGATAGACCTAAGCGCTGTCAATACATTGTCACATAATGATAGACCTAAGCGCTGTCAATACATTGTAACATAATGATAGACCAAAGCGCTGTCAATACATTGTCACATAATGATAGACCAAAGCGCTGTCAATACATTGTCACATAATGATAGACCAAAGCGCTGTCAATACATTGTCACATAATGATAGACCAAAGCGCTGTCAATACATTGTCACATAATGATAGACCTGAGCGCTGTCAATACATTGTCACATAATGATAGACCTAAGTGATGTCAATACATTGTCACATAATGCTAGACCAAAGCGCTGTCAATACATTGTCACATAATGATAGACCTAAGTGATGTCAATACATTGTCAAATAATGATAGACCTAAGTGATGTAAATACATTGTCACATAATGCTAGACCAAAGCGCTGTCAATACCTTGTCACATAATGATAGACCTAAGTGATGTCAATACATTGTCACATAAAGATAGACCTAAGCGCTGTCAATACATTGTCACATAATGATAGACCTAAGCGCTGTCAATACATTGTCACATAATGATAGACCTAAGCGCTGTCAATACATTGTCACATAATGATAGACCTAAGTGATGTCAATACATTGTCACATAATGCTAGACCTAAGAGCTGAAATACATTGTCACATAAAGATAGACCTAAGCGGTGTCAATACATTGTCACATAAAGATAGACCTAAGCGCTGTCAATACATTGTCACATAAAGATAGACCTCAGCGCTGTCAATACATTGTCACATAAAGATAGACCTAAGCGCTGTCAATACATTGTCGCATAAAGATAGACCTAAGCGCTGTCAATACATTGTCACATAAAGATAGACCTAAGCGCTGTCAATACATTGTCACATAAAGATAGACCTAAGCGCTGTCAATACATTGTCACATAAAGATAGACCTAAGCGCTGTCAATACATTGTCACATAATGATAGACCTAAGCGCTGTCAATACATTGTCGCAGAATGCTAGACCAAAGCGCTGTCAATACATTGTCACATAATGATAGACCTAAGAGCTGTCAATACATTGTCACATAATGCTAGACCAAAGCGCTGTCAATACATTGTCACATAATGATAGACCTAAGCGCTATCAATACATTGTCACATAATGATAGACGTAAGCACTATCAATACATTGTCACATAATGATAGACCTAAGCGCTGTCAATACATTGTCACATAATTCTAGACCTAAGTGATGTCAATACATTGTCACATAATGATAGACCTAAGAGCTGTCAATACATTGTCACATAATGATAGACTAAGCGCTGTCAATACATTGTCACATAATGCTAGACCAAAGCGCTGTCAATACATTGTCGCATAAGGATAGACCAAAGCGCTGTCAATACATTATCACATAATGCTAGACCTAAGCGCTGTCAATACATTGTCACATAATGCTAGACCTAAGAGCTGAAATACATTGTCACATAATGCTAGACCAAAGCGCTGTCAATACATTGTCACATAATGCTAGACCAAAGCGCTATCAATACATTGTCACATAATGATAGACCTAAGAGCTGTCAATACATTGTCACATAATGCTAGATCAAAGCGCTGTCAATACATTGTCACATAATGATAGACCTAAGTGATGTCAATACATTGTCACATAATGATAGACTAAGCGCTGTCAATACATTGTCACATAATGATAGACCTAAGCGCTATCAATACATTGTCACATAATGATAGACCTAAGTGCTATCAATACATTGTCACATAATGATAGACCTAAGCACTGTCAATACATTGTCACATAATGATAGACCTAAGCGCTGTCAATACATTGTCACATAATGCTAGACTTAAGCGCTGTCAATACATTGTCACATAATGCTAGACCTAAGCGCTATCAATACATTGTCACATAATTCTAGACCTAAGTGCTATCAATACATTGTCACATAATGATAGACCTAAGCGCTGTCAATACATTGTCACATAAAGATAGACCTAAGCGCTATCAATACATTGTCACATAATGATAGACCTAAGCGCTGTCAATACACTGTCACATAATGATAGACCTAAGCGCTGTCAATACATTGTCACATAATGATAGACCTAAGCGCTGTCAATACAATGTCACATAATGATAGACCTAAGCGCTATCATTTTGCTTGGAATTAATAAAACAAAAAATACCCAGGTACGCCATGATGCTTCAGTGCTGGAACGACGACCCAGACAGACGACCAACCATTGAAGAACTAACTGCTAGGCTCAACAGGATGTTAGAAAACAGTCAGGTAGGCTTTCTGTTTTGTGGTGGTTTATTCTTTATACAGTGGTAGAGTTCAACTTAAAAATCATTTTGCACAAAGGATAGATTGATAGATAGACAATTAAACAGACAGACAGACGGCCAACCATTGAAGAACTAAGTGCTGCGCTCAATTGTAGTATGTTACAAAACCGGAGACGTTTCTTGTGCATTTCCTTTTTATTGATGCATTATGTAATTTAATTGAAAGAAAACAATTATTGCAGCATGGATAATTGCATAGACAAAAATGCAAGCAAAAAAAAGAGAGGCAGACCAACTGACACACTGGCATACACACAGTATGTTAGACAGATATGCAGGTAGACAGTTGGTCAATCAAGAAGGTGTAGAGAGAGAGAGCGCGCGCAAGAGACGCAGACAGACATATAGACTGACAGAAAGATGTGGGGCACAAGAAGAAACTAACATGTCACATGTCAACAAGTTATACATGACCTGGCTACCATTCTAGAAAGGAGGAATCATTGGAAACTTCAAAATAGTGTTTAGACCTGAACAGTTGCCGTCTCATGACAATCACAGACCTGAACAGTTGCCGTCTCATGACAATCACAGACCTGAACAGTTGCCGTCTCATGACAATCACAGACTCGAACAGTTGCCGTCTCATGACAATCACAGACCCGAACAGTTGCCGTCTCATGACAATCACAGACCCGAACAGTTGCCGTCTCATGACAATCACAGACCTGAACAGTTGCCGTCTCATGACAATCACAGACCCGAACAGTTGCCGTCTCATGACAATCACAGACCCGAACAGTTGCCGTCTCATGACAATCACAGACCTGAACAGTTGCCGTCTCATGACAATCACAGACCTGAACAGTTGCCGTCTCATGACAATCACAGACCTGAACAGTTGCCGTCTCATGACAATCACAGGCCCGAACAAATGCTATGTCATGACAATCGCCCCACCCTGGTGCCCTCTCCGCAATGAAGGTTTGCTGCTATGAATCTTCACCACACACCGTCTGTCTCTTGTCTTGGTCGAACACTTTCTCCTTCTGTCTTTATTCACAATCTTATCAGAACCTCTATACACAATTATTTTGTGTTTGACTCCAATGAAAACGTATATTCTTTTGTAGATCCACGTTTCCAGAGACTCCGTTCGAGTGTCTAGTGGCTTCTACATTGCCAGATTTTTAAACCCCACAAGGGAGTTGGGAATACATAATATTTGACAATTCAAATTTCCTGTGTGGTGTTTATCCCTCTATCTGTCAATAATTCTCTAATTTTGTTAAAAATACGTTTAGCCTTTCCTATACTCTTTTTGATTTAATTGTACACCTGCCATCATGTTACTATGTGTCCATGAATAGGAGGAACCTGTGAATTGTTCTAATATCTCTCCGTGAATGTATATTGTTTTTTTATTAGTGTGATTTGTTAACATGTCACAGCTTTTTGTTTAGAGAGTATGTTTTGTAAACCATAGTCAGCAGCACTTCCAGTATTCCTGGTTGAAAGGGAGCTGTTTCCCTTTCTCAGTCGATCCTTTTCTACCCTGGGATGGAGAGATTTACCAAAGAGGTCGCCAGACTTCTCTTTCAGCAGTTTTCTTTTTTGACTTTTTTTCCCATTCCAGTCCTCTGTCAGTCAGAGAATGTCGGATGTTGTCTTCCCAGCGAACCCTGGATGGTCCTGCGGGTCTGGTTCACTGTCTTTTTTCCCCCGCTAAATTTTTCCGATAACGTGTATTTTATTAGTATTACTTCGACAGCATCTGAAAGAGACTGAGCACATAATAGACTGATCTCGAGTGCTGTGATGTAGGTGTTGAATAACAACTACCGACAAACCATTGTCACCGTAAATTCAACATTTCAGTATGATAAAAAGAATTAGGACATAATGAACATTATTTCGTTTTTCAGGTCTACATGAATTTGAACGTCCAAGAGGAGTCACTCTACACAGAGATTGACCACGAGCGCATGAACTGACATGCCAGTCACAGATTTATCTTCGAAAACCTGCTTCTGAAACTGATGAACTATGGTGGGATCGAAAGTGCCACAACAAACAAACGAACTGTACTTTTAAAAAATGGTTAAAAACTCGGTCTTCTGGCCTCTTTAAACTGCTGCCAACTTGTCTCTCACCTTTCATACATTATTCTGTACTTGCATCTCTTTTTGGAATATATTTTGGCAATTATCGTAGCGATTTAGGCAAGGAAATTAAATGTAAGCAATGGGTAACTGACAGAGGAATGCTATTTATTATCTATTGAATTGTATTAAGTGGTAATGATAGGCAGTATCGTTTCTTTGAAATTCAATTAATCCGATCATATTAGGTTAAAAAGTTAGTTGCGTATCATTTACATGACGTTGCAGAACCAACCATAGCATTTGTTGGCTTTTGTGGTTTTCTAGGCACATTTTTTATTCAGTAGTTTGCCATTGCTTACTGAACTTGCAGCTCTCAGTACCACTGTCGAAACCAATGCAATAAAAATTGTCCGCAGCTGGAATCGAACCCGGCACCCCGGCATTACGAAGAGAGACCACATTAAAGGGCCTTAACTCAATATTATTAGATAAATCTTAGATGGACGTTAAGTTACCTAGGCGAGTTGGAGCCCACACGATAGATAAGGCGTTTCGCTAGAGACTTAACAGACTATGATCTTAAGAGTAGCTAGACCTGAAAGCTGTAAACTCCTCGGGACATCCTCTATAGTAAATAACAGATTGCCAGAATATGGCAGGGTTGGCCTCCACTACGAAGCGATGAAGTATATGTAAAAGCGCGACTCAAATGACCCAAACTCATGACTACTGGACCTGCCTGCTGATAGGATATAATAATATTACATATTTATGAGGTAGTTCATACGAAAACCTTAAAAGTCTGATAGAAATTACAGTAACCATGCCATTGTTTTGTAACCTGTCAGTATTATTGTCCATGATGTTAAGAGTGTTAAGCACTTGACATCCCAGTGCAGACGAACATGGTAGCATCATAATGACAGTAATGGCTGCCACACTTTTGACATGAACCATGAAGAGCAGCGTTCTGTTATCCGTTTTTTCCATAGTATTTCATATTTTGTATGAATATGTTTGATGCTGCTGATGAGGTGTTAGATCTCAAATCGTATTTTTGAATTTTTATATCAATGTAAATGTTGTATATATTAATTACCTTGCTTATTGTGTCCCTTCTGTTTATTTCTCATAATTCCTATCTAGATACGTGAATTCCCCCCCCCCCCCCCCCCCTTTCCTTTTGCAGGATGACATTTTTTGCTATTTTGAAGCCCCACGCTTGCTTTTGCCGGGGGGCCGGGGGCCCTTAATATAGCCCGGCCATAAATCTGGCCTAACGGCTTAGCCGTGTTTTCTGGACCTTTCCAGGGGGATTATCATCCGCATGGTGGCACTTTGTGTTACCGCATGTTTATCGCTTGTGTAATGTCCTTGTGGAGTAAAATTTTGTTAATTACTTCCTATCTAGACATCAGACAGATTACTTATATTGGTTTTTGACTCTAGATTCATACTATACCAAAAGCAAAACCAATGGGGTGCCGCCTTCGCATGAAAGGGCGGCTGTAATGGATCTCAAACACGTTCAGCCTTTAGCTTTGGATGTACGCTGTCTCAAAATGCTGTTCGTCCATCGTTTGAGGTTCGCCTCCCACTTGTATCACTTGAATGTCTCATGCTCGCTTGACTTAGTTTATGTGTGTTAACTTTTGATTCCGTTCTCTTGATAAATCAGATACGAGGTATGTATGGGGACAATGAGCTTTCTTGAGGTGGAGTGGGTAGTAAATAATTATATGTTTATTGTGTTTACTACTTGTAAGTATAACAAAGAGTTAATTTATTTGTGACCATTTAAAAAAAAACATAAACTAATACCGAAGTATGCACATTTTGTAAACAGTCACGTCACGGTCAGTCGTCGTTTCGTTCTCAAGGCTAAAGTACATACACTGTCACACTACCTACATGTTCATGACAAGGTATGAATAGTACACACGTAGTTAATTTGTCACCTTGGTCAGAGTAGATTTAGTACCACACTTGCCTACGTGAAGATGAAGAAGAAGAAGAAGAAGAAGAAGAAGAAGAAGAAGAAGAAGAAGAAGAAGAAGAAGAAGAAGAAGAAGAGGAGGAAGAAGAAAAAGAAGAAGAAGAAGAGAAAGAATAAGAAGGAGAAGAAAGAAAGAACTAAAGAAAGAAAAAGAGAGAAAGAAAAAAGGAAAAAAAGACGAAAAAAAAAAGAAGAAGAAGAAAGAAAAAGAAAGAAATTAAGAAAAAGAAGAAAAAGAAAATATAGAAGAAAGAAAGAAAGAAAGAAAGAAAGAAAGAAGAAAGAAAGAAAGAAAGAAAGAAAGAAAGAAAGAAAGAAAGAAAGAAAGAAAGAAAGAAAGAAAGAAAGAACTGAAGATAGAAAAAAAATGGAGAGAAAAAAAGAAGAAAAAAAAAAGAAAATGAAGAAGGAAGAAGAGGAGGAAGAGGAGGAGGAACAGGAAAAGAAGAAAAAGAACTACTCTTAATACACATGTTGCTTTACATGCAGGCATTTGTTACCAAATGCCCCTTTCTTTCCTTGTTTTTAGTGGTTTCACTGGCATATGTGAAACTGAAATAGCAGTGAAATAACCTTTGTATGTCAAACGAACATTCAATAAGGTTTTCCATAGTTCCGTGTGTGTGATCCTCAGTTTCATTTGTAATTTTTTTTTTATTTGACCTGTAATGTTTATAGATTTCCTGTATAACTAACCCTTCCCACGCCTTCAGGCATATTGGGTATATAATGCTAGAAATATTTTTTTTTAATACCAATCCGCACTCAGTGGGTGATGTGGTCTGCATCACACTGCTTGTATTTACTTCCCAGAACTCCTCAAAAGTCAATCTGGAATCATAGGTTATTTTTGGTGGGAAAAAAAAATACAAGTGACTCTTTGATCCCACGAACTTCGGC